CAGGGCGGGCGGTTGGCTCACGTGCTTATCCCATGATTGTAGCCACACGCACAGATGGGAGTCCGTATGCAGCTCACTACTTATGCAGGCTGCCCGGCCTTCTAGGCTCAAGCTGAATTCAGGTCGCAATCAGGAAAGGTGCTTGGTATGACACCTCATGTTTTCCAGCCATGCTGGAGAGAAATCCAGCTTGCAATCGACCTGCAAGAATATGACAGGCTTCAGGAGTTTGAAAATGCAGTGCTGCTGTTTACCCATGTGGGCGACACCAGCATCTGTTGGCTGGGAGCTGCAATTCTTTGATAAAGACACCTGCCATGTTTTGGCGGGCGCCATTTGGAACACTCTGCGTGACAATGAGTGCTTCAACGTAGTTGCCAGGCAGTGTTTTGTGGACGCATCACACAAAGGGCACCTCATGGTCAAAAGCTAAAGGCTTCGAGTTCCGTCCGGCACTACTGATAGAATACTGCCTCAAATTTTTTTCCACACAGAAGTCCGACATGGTCAGGTTGAAGCAGGAAACCCGCATCGTGGACAACTGCAGGCTTGCCAGACATGGAGCGTTTTCGTATCTGTACCTGCTTCGTACTGTAATGGCCCCTGGGTGCAGGCAATTCGCTGTCAAAGTCTTTGAGGCATGTTGCTCTCCAATGCAAATAGGGGCATCAGTAACCAGTTAGCCCCGCAAGCACAATTCCGGAAATGTGCAGCCAATGCAATTTACAATAAGACAGCGCCGCAGCCGAGCACAGCCCACCACGCAACCACGCAACCACCCTCTAACGGAGCGAGATCTATTACAATTTGCAACAGGACAGCGCCGCAGCCGACCACAGCCTACCACAGCCGACCAGGCAACCACCAGACCGTCCTGCAATTTACAATCAGACAGCGTTGCAGCACAACAGAAGAGCGCGGCAGCCGACCACAGCCGAGCACAGCCGACCAGAGCCGCTCCAGACCCTCTAACGGAGCAAGATCCATTGCCATTTATCCCTGTGGGTGTTGTCTTGGTGTGTGTGATCTCTGTGTGTGTGGTCTCGGTGTGTGTTGTCTCTGTGTGTGTTGTCTCGGAAAGAGAAGCGGGAGGAGCGGGAGAAGCGGGAGAGGCGAAGCGGGATGAAATACAGAACCCCACATTGAGATGTGGGGAAAAATTGAAAGAAACATACAATCGATATTGAAATCTTAAAATTGAAAAAAATATTAAGGTTTTCAAGGGGCAGGCAAATTGAAATTTCCTTTTTGGAATTAAATGAATACCACAAAGGATTGAATCCAAAGCAACCCATTAGATTCTGATCAGACATGATGGAGATTGAGCGAATGAAGAGGGATTTTGGGTTATGGGACAAAAAATTTAAACTTAGGAAGCATTATAAATTATTACGTTTTTTTCAGAAATACTCTTTATTTTATTCAAATTTAAACATATATATATTTTTTTTTGTTAAAAGTAATATTTATCGTATAAATTACCTAATTATATTAAAAATAAAATAAAATATTCATTTCCATATTGGACTCGATGCATATATAAATATATTTATAGAATATATATATATATATTAAAATTTTATTAATAATAATAATACTTTGGTTGTTTATATAACTCAACTAAATAAATTATTATAATAACATGGGTTTTAAATCAAAAGATCCTATTTAAATCTATTAAAATTTGAATTAATTCAATCCATTCGGAAAAAATACAACGAAATACCTAAAAATATCTAAACACTACAAGCGAATATAAAAGTAATCCAAAATTAGGAGATAAATGTGAGGATTACAACGCAGAGGCGGACACCACAATCCAAAATTAAGAAATAAATATAAAGGGCTAGGAAACAAATGTAAGAATTATACGGAAGAACAACTATTAAGAAACAAATATAAAGAATTTAAGCAATTATATACTCTTCGATTAATCGATGCTAAATATCGATTATTAATTTATTATAGAATAGAGGAATCAAATGCTTTAATTAAATATTTTTATAGATTCTAATAGAAAAATTATATTTTTATATTAAAAGATAAACAAAAAACAATTTATTAATTTAAGCATTTAAATAAAATATATTATAGCAAAGACGATACTTTAATTAAATTCCTAATAATTCGTAAATTTTATTATCGAATTTTTAATTTATTTTCATCCTTTTCCATATCAAAATAAAAAAAATATCATTTATCTATCGTTTATATATTATTATGGATAAAATAATATAAAAAAACCATTTAATTATTTATTCATATCTATTTAATTCCGTTTTTACATCAATAATATTTATATCAAATAACAATTTATAATAATTAAATTATAGAAAAAATAAATAAATTTGACCATAATTTATATAAATAATCCTAATTAAATCATTCCATCATAAGAAGCCTTAAAATCCTCATCCAAATACGAATATTCTAGACCAATAAATATTTTTAAATATTTTATAAATTTAATTTAATTACAAAAAAAAAATTAAAAAAAGAAATAAAAAAATATATAAAAATCGATATAAATATAAAATTATAAAAATCTAAATATAAAAAACAAAATAATAAAAGAAATATCAAATAAGCAAAAACATTTCGACGTCTTTTCTTCGAGCCATAAATAATGCCGATTAAAAACGCGAACAAAAAGTCGTATATTCGCGTATTTATTGTTTAAGAAATTACCTTTTTTTAATAAATTTAATAATTAATTAGTATTTTTATATATTTTAATTATATTTTTATTTAATATATACGATACGATTAAAATTATTATCTTTCAAAATCTATATATCATAATAATATATCGAATTTTTAATTTAATAATAATTATCGAAATATAACAAATTTAATAAATATCGAAATATAGATTTCATATCAATATAATAATTTATATAAATTAAAATCCAAATTTAATCTTTATAATTTATATAAATAAATTTATCATAATTTCCAAATATAAAAAATTTATTTTATATAATATTTAATATATATAAATTTCATAACAACCATAAAATTTTAAAACCTCTTTTTCAATATAAATACTCTAACACAAATTTTAATTTTTTCAAAATATTTCAATCCTTTAAACCTATTTTCTTTCCTCATTCATTCATTTACCCCCCCATTCACTATTATTTTACTCTTTCAAGCTCATCCTTTCACTCACACTCGCTCCTTGCTCGAACTCTTTCACTTACACTATCACTCACTCACGCTCAATTCGAATATCATTCCGATAAACAAATTTATGAATAAAAATAGATCTATTTTGCAAAGAATTCTACCTATTGCTTTCCTATTGCTATATAATTATACATACAAGAACTTTATTTAATGCAATAAATAAAAAATATCTATTCAATTCAAGATTCAAGCCTTAGAAATTCGGGATAGAAAACATAATTAAATAAAATCCTTACTCCATTACCACTACAACATCAACACATCACTACCCCGACCAAAACCACGAACTACAATCACGCCGATTCCAAAACGCACACCACACATAAGCAATCCGCAAACGAAACCTCTCACATTTCCTATAAAACTATTTCAAAAAATTTAGTGCGTTTTTTTCTATTACAAATAACACATAATAAGAATTTCTTTCCGCCGCCATATTTAACAAATTCCTCCAAACAATACATTTAATTATTCGTCCAAAAATTAGGCTTCAATCGTGTTAAATTGTAAATAAACATTCCCTCATTGATCAATAATATATCTTCATTCAATCCAAAAATCTATTCATTCAAATTATCAAGAAAACAAAACATTTTACATTCAAACTGCCAATAACAAAATAAAATATAAATACAAATCAAAAAACAAAACTCAAAATAAATCATATTCTAAATTAACAAGAAATCAATCGATTATATATCGATATATTTAAACAATTAATATTCGTTTTACCTTAAACTTTAATATATTATTAAAAAATACCATAAAATTAAACTAGAATCTATTTACACTAATACCAATAAAAACCTTTTAAAACGATACCAATAAAAACCTTGCTAATAAACATCTAAATACCTATCGTTTAAAGGAGCCGTTTTAAATAAAGAAAAAAATAAATTCCATTCGTCGTCCAATGTAAAAAAAAGATAATTTATCCCCCGTCCAATATTATTCAAGAATCCATAAAACAAAACAAACAATTTCCAGAAAATAACCGACGCCAAAAATTTTTATATTCGGCATTACTTTCAATGTATCAAATTCAATCAATCAAACTCGATAAATATCATACCATCTAGAAATACATCCAAACAAATCTATTTATTCAATAACCTCAACAGAACTCTTAAATATTTTACATCTATATTTAAAAACTTCTTAATATAACAAAAATCTGATTTAATCATTTCATTCATCAATTTTCGTATCGACCTTCGATAATATAAAAGCCATGATAACATTCTAATAATTAAACAAAACATCAATAATAATTCAATACCGAATATAGCATATTAAAAACAAAAAACATATTTATATCCGTATTTCCCGAATTAAGAATAAGTTCTTTCAATTCAACCAACCTTAAAAAAACAAAATCAAAAAACAGATTCCAAGATAGATAATTTAAATCATTAAAGTAGAAAATAACAACGAAAATGCCAAAATTCAAAACAAGAGTTCGAATAACTCGATCCCCGTATGAATAAACAATCATAATTAAGGCTAAAATAACGTGTCTATTATTGAACAAACATTCACCAATTAAGTTATAAAATCATTTCCCGCAATAATCCATACCGCTATCTACATCGCAACTTTGCCCACCCCTTGGCTGCACACAGCACCACAGCCCAGCCTCCCTACCCCAACACCGCGCCGCACCCATGCTGCACTACAAACACGTGTATCTCATTTTGTTCTCTTTGGAGGCTCCTTTTCGGAACTCGGCGAAGGGGCATTTTCCGCCATTGGAAAAGCAAACGTCATGGCGTTTGTGGATCTCATCAGAATCCAAGCCCAAAAATTCAATAGCCAGAGGTGGCGCAACAGCCTTTGAGAACGTAAAATACTTAAAAAGACGTTGCTTCTCCAGTGCGATGCCACTTTTCATCTTCTGGCTCGGACTCACCAAAGTAATCCTGTCCATGGCCGGTAGAGGCGGCAGCGTTGCTAAATAGGTTATGGGCCAATTTCGTTGCTAATTAAGTGGTGGGCGGGAGCTTCAAAGCATAAAAAACAAGATGGAGCCCACGAACCCGAATGCAAACACGTTCGAAAAGCTACATACACTCTTGTAGGACACTCTTGTGGGACACTCCTCTTGGGCACTCTTGTGGGACACTCTTGTGGCTTGTCGGAAACTCTTGTGGGTCACTCTTGTGGGACACTCTTGTGGGACACTCTTGTGGAACACTCTTACAGGACACTCTTGTGGGACACTCTTGTGGGACACTCTTGTAGGCCACTCTTGTAAAACACTCTCGTAGGACGCTCTTGTGGGTCACTCTTGTAGGAAGCTCTTGTGGGGCACTGTTTCGGGACTCTCTTGTGGGACACTCTTGTAGGCCACTCTTGCGGGGCACTCTTGTAGGACACTCTTGTGACAATCTTGTGGGTCACTCTTACGGGGCACTCTTGTAGGACACTCTTGTGGGTCACTCTTATGGGCCACTCTTGTCGGACATTCCTGTGGCGCACTCTTGTGAGAAACTCTTGTGGGACACTCTTGTGGGTCACTCTTATGGGCCACTCTTGTCGGACACTCTTGTGAGACACTCCTGTGAGACACTCTTGTAGGACACTCTTGTGGGTCACTTGCAGGCCACTCTTGTGGGACACTGTTGCGGGCCACTCTTGTAGGACACTCTTGTAGGACACTCTTGTGGGACACTCTTGT